TTTTGTAGCATGTTTTGGTGTATGTGCAAGGAAGCGGCAAGAAAAACTGGGCAGAACCAGAGCACCCAGATGGCTGGGATGGTAACGTGGCACCCTGCTTTCTATACTCTGTGGCTTCTGGCGATGGGGTGAGGCCGGGGCTCCTCACCAGCCTTTCCCTGGCTTCCTGCTTCGAAGCCTGGCAGCGTAGGTTGCCTTGTGTGCTGCAAACAGAGCTTTCCTCTGAGGGAGCGAGAGCCGCTGCTGCCGGGTGACAGAGAAAATGGGGCTGCTCTCAGCTGCAGCTGCTGCCTATGTCACTGACACTGACACATTTTGTTTGTATTTACTGCGTTAATTAGAGAGAGGGTAGTTGAAATTCCTTTCCCCCTTCTTACCTTCTCATTTCTCTGCGTAGGTGAATGTGCTGATAGCGGCCTCTGTACGCTCTTTTGTAACCATCCTCTTTGTCACAGTTCCCTAACGCTGTCCTATCTCCATAGGAGAGAGAAGAGAAGGAGCTAAGCTCTCACCCAGTGCGTGTTGTGCATATAGTGAGTGTCCCCCGTGCTCATAACTGTCCTTGATGTAGCCAGACATATCTCAGTGTGACGAGGAATGGCCATTCCTTGTGTTGCAAGCCTCTGTTAAACCAGAATGCAGCTATTGCCAGAGCTGACACGGCTGCCCGGTGTCCTAAGTTCTGTAACAAACCTTCCCTCGCTGCTTGCTTGCTTCCTACTGAGGCTCACGCCTGTATTTCTTTTGCAAATTGGTTTTGCTGCCCTTTAGCAGTGCGATTGTGGAATCGCCATCACAAATACTGGCGTAGAGTATGGATCCTGGATACCTTATAGCTGCACAATGGCAACAATTCCTTCTACAAAAGGAGAGTTTCTAGAAGAGAAACAATTACACTATGGAAATGGGTGGAAACTGTACCTCAGCTTCATGTCAGATCCTTTAATTCATTAGCAGGGCAGAAAATGTATTCATGCTTGCAGCTTCCAGCTCTATATTTAGTAGCTGCTCCACATGCGTGTTGTGTTCCCCTCAAAGGCAGGCAGTGCCTCCCTCACCTCACTGTTCCCCGATGGCAGCTGGGGAACACTATTCAGCATTCAGGCACCATCCACAGCACCCCAGGAGCAACAAAATGGGCATTTGCTCCCCCCAGCCTTTTCCTACTGGGCAAGCCATTAGCCGATCAGAAGCACTAACTGGAACGTTAATCAGGGATGCTGTTTCTGTGAGTTAGCATTCAATTGAGAGTAAAGAATCTGCTGCAACTGTTTCTTACACAGAAATATGGAGAAAGGGAACTGATATTTAAAAAAGACACAAACAAACAAACAAACCCCAAAAAACCAGAATAGTCTTCAGTTGCATCACTTATCCTCAAAGGACACCGAGAACGAGATCATGTTAACTACAGTATTTTGTCTCTGCCATATTGTTTAAAAATAGAGTATTTTCAAATGATGGGAGCATGCATTAGATTTCTCTTTTTACGTACAATTGTGTTATTTTTAGATGAAGTCGTGTTTCCGCTTCCATACGTGTAAGATAAACATTCAGAAATATTTTCTAACCAACTGTAGTAAATTATTCTTTTGAAAATAGATTCAGATCATTTTCTTATTTAATGACTCTTCTTTTAATTGAAATGTTAGGTGTAGTTATGCAGATCAAATAATGATGGTGGATGTAGGAAGCGAAGCATTCTGAGCAACAACACCATTATTGTAGTGGTAATCACTACAGCAGGGGATATCCTAAGTCACAGCTTGACCCAGTGATTGAGCACCTGGTGGGAAGGCAGGGCCTTCCCGGAGGAGCTCAGGTGCATGCAATGTTCCTGAGTGAGCAGAAGGGTGGAGCCAGGATCCACCCCTTCCCAGACCTCATTTAAGGGTTGGCAGTGGAGAGTAGCTCACTGTTAGGGATCTTTCCTTTATTTCTGTGTCTGCTGCTGTTGTGTTTGAGGGAATTTTCACTTGTGGTGCTTTGGGACCTTGCTGCTTTGTTGTCATTGCTATGCTTTCCATCGTGTTATATTTACATTGTTTTCTTATTTTCCACTGGGCATTTGCAGCTGATGTGAAAGCTCTCTTAGCTTCCCGTGTACTTTAATGATGCTTCACTTTGTGAAGAAGCTGCAATGTAAAAAAAAAAAAAAAAACAAAAAAACCCCCTGTATTTAGTTTATGCAGTTATTATATTTTTCTTTGTGGGAGGACAGAGCACTGTAAGTTACAATCATCGTTTTTTTGGCACAGAAATCGTGCCAAAGCTTGAAATCGTATGAAAGCTCCTTGGATTGGATTTGATAGGATATTTATCATGTCTTTAGATAATTATGCCTAAATTTCATGGAAAGGTAAGGTAGTGAAAGGTCACAGTTGGGTGGAATTTTTTTTTTTTTTCTACTGAGGAAAATGAATGTCTGCTTCTTTTCTTTGAAAGTCTGTGGGCTATTTAAAGAAAAGAAAAAAAAAATCCTATGGTGAGTTGCATGTTAATCACTTTGGGTAAGTATGCACTAATTCATTTTCTCAGTTTGTTTTTACTTCTGTAGTAATACAGAAGTAGTTACTTCTGTAGTCCTTACATTTATAGAATTCCCAAGCATAAATTCAATGTCCAGTTGTGACATATTTTTCCATACTTGATTTAGTTTTGGCAAGAAATATTGCAATGTCAGCCTGTTTTCCACGGATTTTGTTATTTTATTTCCTCATCCTATCTGAAACACAGATGTGAGAAAAAACAGGAATGGTAAGCGGGTGGCTGTGAATTGAGAGTTATGGTTTGTGATTGGCTGATCTGTAGGACTGGACCAGACTGAAGTAGTAAATCCTCTAAATGGCCTCTTAATGTTACAGATAATGAAATCCTAGCCTACTATTTGGAATATAATCTCAGGACATGCTCTTGAGTGGGATCTTGATGATCCTTGAGGTCCCTTTAAACCCAAGCCATTCAGTGATTTTGAGATTTTCAAAATTTGAGCCTTGTCTTTGTTTTATGGAAATTGTTCTTATTTTATCCCAGTTAGTTTTTTCCATGAATTGCTGAACATATAAATTACAAGACCTATTAACTGTTTTTTTTTTTTTTTAATTATAATTTTTCCTGTGTTTTTCTTTTTCCAATACTAATGGGACAATTTTTGTCAGTAGGAACACTATAGGCAAGAAACTATGTACCTCTAGACCTAATTGGTTTTAATTCCAAGTAATCAAAAGATATTGCCTTAGTAGCAGCTGGAAAGGAATTGTTTTTTTCAGAACATCTGGTATGAGGCCATGTTTTGGTTCTTTGAGAGAAACAATGTTGATAACACACCAGTGTTTGTAGTTGATGCTGGGCAGTGTTGTTCAGAGCCAAAGCCGTTGTCAGCAAAAAATCCATGGATCTGGGAGGGAATGGAAGAGGGACAGCTGACTTAAAGTGGTCAAAGGGTATTCTGTAGTGTGGAAATTCACATGGAAAGAATTTTGAAGGGGGTGAGAGTTCATCTTGTTCTCTTCCTTTCACTGGAGCTAGCTGAGCATCAGTCAGGTGGTGGTGCAATTATTTGCGCATCACTTACCAGATATGTTTGTGTGTGTATGTGTTATATATTCATAACTATTAATCTCTATCTCTGTAAAAAGTTTTAGCTCTGTTCACACATGTAGCAGAGATGTTAAGTCAGGGCCTCAAGCAGTGATTGAGCACCTGGTGGGAAGGGGGGGGGCAACCCAGGGGAGCTCAGGTGCATGCAATGTACCTGAATGATTAGAAGTATCCACCCCTTCCCAGACCTCTTTTAAGGATTGGCAGTGAAGGTGAGGGCATCTCTTGCCAGAGATCCCTGCCTCTGAGATCACCTGATGCCTCTCAGAGGTAAGCAGATCTTTCCCTTCATTTCTGCATCTGTGGCTTCTTCATTTGGACTTGTTTTCATTTACTGCAGCCAAAGACTCTGTCTTTGCTGCTATTGTTGCCGTACTTTCCATCCTGTAATAGCATTACAGCATGAGTTCTACTTCAATGGTTTTTTGCAGTTCTCTCCTCCATCCCTCCAGGAAGGTGGGGGATGGAGTGTGTAGGTGCCAGGGGGGGTTAAACCACAGCTGGTATTTGCAGAAGGGTATTTCAGTGTGTTTATTTCAGCGATCCTAGAAGCAACTCTTAAAAATAGGGAATATTGACTGTGGATGTTGGTGAATCTCCCAGGCAACTACACAGAGGCTCTTTAGTTACTGTAACAGCAAAGGCATTTTGAGCATGATGGCTGTGCAGAAAATGTACCTTTAGAGAAAGCATGACAGCACAGAACAGTCATGGTATCTCAAATTTTTCTTTAAAGACAGCAGGTTTATTTTGGAAAAAAACTCTTTCAGTTGTTTGCAACTAAAATGAGAAAGATGATCCTTTTGGGTTTTTCTGGTCTGTAACCATTGAATCAGCTGGCCAGAAACCAAAGATGACTTCATTGGAATTTTTGTTTGCGTGAACTTGGCTACAAAGAGTGAGAGTCCCCTCCTTGTTACAAGGAACCACTTGTTAATTGAGCAAGAAGTAATTAAACACAGGTGATTTAAAGACAACTTTAAGTAATACTTTCTAAGTAATGTACTGGCAAGGAAACTCTTAAGAAATGGCAGCTGGGTATTTTGGAAGTGCATTGTGTATGAAATTTAGTAACGTGATTGCAGAGAAACTTGTTATCAGAAGCTCAAGAAAAGGAGTCTGAATCTATTAATGTTTACCCTAATGGTAGTGGGCACACCTGAACACATGGAGAAAAGCATATAGGGAAACCATGATGGAAAGTAGCATTAAATCCCAGCATTCCAGCAATGCTGAAATACAGGTACAAATTAAAATACTTCTTACAATCCTAAAATAATATTCTGAAATCCTAGATCATCTTCCTACTGATAACCAAAGATCAGTAAATTCTTCAACCTCGCATTTTATAAACAGAATAGACCAACCAGCCATAGAGAAACAAAGCTCTGACACAGGTGTATTACATTGTAGTAAAAAATTTAATATGGCAGAAGGGGAAGTAGACAACTACAGTGATCACATAAGCATTACAAAGCATGATCATTTTACATTTTTTGATGAGTCAAATAAGCATATTTCTATATGAGGTATTATCTTGACCAAGGTTCAGCTTCGATTTCCTTTTGTAGCCAGGATTTTATACAGCAAACATACCCAAAACAACTTGAAAGCATCTCCAGTGTAACAGTAGAATATAACAGTAATAGCAATAACATAACTAGTAATACAAATTGTAAAACACAGTTAACTAAACTTGTCATTACTGATGATATATTAAATAATTTAACAGTAAAAATCCCTGTTTTTTTTTTTTTTTAACATTATCTGATTTAAGTATGGAATCATTTGTGCTGGAGAGATGCCTAAGGGCCATCTAGCCCTGCTCTCATCCAATTGAGCAGGCCACCAACAGCTGCATAGTATCACTCTGTCCCCTCCGGCCTTTTGTCATTTGTTCTCCTGAAAGAAACACACAGCCATAGTCTAATGTATACAGTGGTCTTGTCACTCATAAAAAAACTGGAAAAACAATCATTGCAGAAGTTGCAACAAAAATTAATTCTTCTTGCATTCACTGGTGCTGAGAGGTGCAGTTGCCAGCAGTGCTGCTACTTTTTGGTGCTTCCAAAGGGTTTGTGCTTTGGGAGTTAAGCTCATGGAGTGATAACAAGCTGTGACAGCTATGAGACCACTCTTGAATAACTTCAGTTTTTGGAGTAAGACCAGTCAGGAGTCCAACAGGTTGAAGTACTTCACAAGACATCTGTTTCCGGTAGCAAATTCTGGAAGTAGTAGTGATAAAATCTACAGTTGAGAAAGGACTTGCAGCAGGGGCTCTTGGCATAGAAGGAAGGCTCTCTTTGCTGCTGTAGCTTTAGGAAGTCAGGAACTAATCAAATGCATATACAGGAACTTGTTTTTACAACAGAAAATGATCACCTACTTTTTTAAAAAAGGGAATATAACTGGGAGAAAACACCTCTCCTCATGCAATTATCTGAGTGCTGAGCAGCACCAGCCCTCTTTCACTTAACACAGTGAAAGAAGCCACTGAGACAACAGTCATAGCACTTCCTTTTCCCAGAAAAAGGAATCCTGAAGTTATCTGATCTGTCAGCCTTGACATCAGATACCTCTTCAGCAGCTAATGAAGTTGCTCAGAGGTCCAGCCAGTTGAAATTACAGTCTGCCCAGGTAGCCCCATAGCTTTCTCCCTGTCCCACAACCAGACAGCACAAGGGGAGGTGAGAAAATAACACCTGCTGCACTGGGCTCTGCTTTTTCCTTTTCCGAGCTTCCTGAGGTTCCCCCAGCTTGGCATCAAGTTCCTTTTAAGTGGCAGCTTCACCCTCTGGCAGTGCAACTGTTATGGCTTCATGTGCTGCAGGCTATTTCGAGAGACTGAGGGGCACTGGCAAAATTAGAACACAGTAGCATGAAGTGTCCAAGGTGACTGAACCAGAGTAGTGGTCTTATGCAGTCCGAATGGAAAAGGGAGTACTGCTTTTTGTATGCCATTGCTACAGTAAAGCGAGCATAGGGTGGCTGAAGCAGCAGCTCTCAGGCAAAAGCCGCATTTAAATATGACTGCAGAAGAGGCCGCCTCTAAAACCTCCAGCAAAGCAAAGAGCGCTTACCTAGAACTGGCAGAGCAGCAGCAGCGAGACGCTTCCAAACCGCAGGCTGGGTCTGGGGTATTTCCTGTCCTAGAGGCATAGGACTTGCTCCCCTCGAGCAGAAATGATAAGAGAACAGCAAACAGTCTCCTGGGGGACGCAGTTCCGAGCTCGGGTCTGAAAGAAAAGAACCGGAGCATTAACTCAGCTACTCGCCTTCTTTTTATCGGTGCTTCGCTGGCACGATTTTAAAAAGAAGTTTACTTGCAGAGGAAGAAAGGCCATTTCCTTCTCTTTACCAGCCCACGGTAAGACACATCTTACAGTCAGGTAAGATGCCTTTCAGTTAGAGATGGTTCTTGCCTTTAGCCTTTCAGTTAGAGATGGTTCTTGCCTTTAGCCTTTTAGTTAGAGATGGTACTTGCCTTTAGCCTTTCAGTTAGAGATGGTTCTTGCCTTTAGCCTTTCAGTTAGAGATGGTTCTTGCCTTTAGCCTTTCAGTTAGAGATGGTTCTTGCCTTTAGCCTTTCAGTTAGAGATGGTTCTTGCCTTTTGCCTTTCAGTTAGAGATGGTTCTTGCCTTTAGCCTTTCAGTTAGAGATGGTTCTTGCCTTTAGCCTTTCAGTTAGAGATGGTACTTGCCTTTAGCCTTTCAGTTAGAGATGGTACTTGCCTTTAGCCTTTCAGTTAGAGATGGTACTTGCCTTTAGCCTTTCAGTTAGAGATGGTACTTGCCTTTAGCCTTTCAGTTAGAGATGGTACTTGCCTTTAGCCTTTCAGTTAGAGATGGTACTTGCCTTTAGCCTTTCAGTTAGAGATGGTACTTGCCTTTAGCCTTTCAGTTAGAGATGGTACTTGCCTTTAGCCTTTCAGTTAGAGATGGTACTTGCCTTTAGCCTTTCAGTTAGAGATGGTACTTGCCTTTAGCCTTTCAGTTAGAGATGGTACTTGCCTTTAGCCTTTCAGTTAGAGATGGTACTTGCCTTTAGCCTTTCAGTTAGAGATGGTACTTGCCTTTAGCCTTTCAGTTAGAGATGGTACTTGCCTTTAGCCTTTCAGTTAGAGATGGTACTTGCCTTTAGCCTTTCAGTTAGAGATGGTACTTGCCTTTAGCCTTTCAGTTAGAGATGGTACTTGCCTTTAGCCTTTCAGTTAGAGATGGTACTTGCCTTTTGCCTTTCAGTTAGAGATGGTACTTGCCTTTTAGTTAGTTTTCTAGTAAATCAATTTTTCTTCAACTGCAATTCTAAGCTAACTGATAACTGTTTTACATTCAGAAACAGCAGGAAGTTTATCATGGGTAATCCCATGAAAAACTACCTTACATACAATAATTACAGCAGAGGAACTGCACTTACTCTGCTTTCAGAGGTGTTTTTGCGCTTGCTCAAAGACACTTGGAAATGAATTTTCAATTTTCTGTGAAATTTCATAATTTTCACAGAACCCTTCTAAGAAGGCCAAGTGTCTTGCAAGCATTTTTATTTTGCTTTAATGCATTAGTCAGACTTATCAGGGCTTTGAGCATTGGGTTTCAAATACATAAAGCCATAGAGCAAACTTAAACTAACTTTAAAGTACTACTTTCAGTTCCTCCCAGAAGCAGCCACCACCATCCAGGAGCCTCCAGCAGCACTCAGGTATCCCCGCTCCCATCAGGGGGGCCCCCAGATGCCAGGGGGGCGAGGGAGGGAGGGAGGCAGGAGGGAGGCCCCGAGGGGCAGGGAGCAGGGGGAAGGGGGGAGGAGGGAGGGCAGCCCCGGGGGGCAGGGAGGCCCCCGGGGGCCAGGGAGGGAGGAGGGAGGGCGGAGGGAGGGCGGCCCCGGGGGGCGGGGGGAGGAGGAGGGAGGAGAAGGGAGGGCGTCCCCGGGGGCCGGAGGGAGGAGGAGGGAGGAGGGAGAGCGGTGCTGGGGGGGCGGGCCGCCATACGACGAAACCCACCCCCCCTCAAAAAAAAAAAAAAATATATCTCTTTAGAGATAGTGCAAATTTCGCGGTCTAGCAAACAAAAAAAAAATCGAAAAAACCCCCCCCAAACAGTCAGTGACCCCATCACAAACCACAGCCAAAACTAGAATGACCACAGTGCAAACAAGACAGCAAAAAAAAAAACCAAGATGCAAGACAACTACCAAAACTAAGATCACCACAAGACAAGAAAAATAAAGAGAACCAGAAACCAACTACAAAACAAGACAACCAAAAAAAAAAACCAAGATGCAAGACAACTACCAAAACTAAGATCACCACAAGACAAGAAAAATAAAGAGAACCAGAAACCAACTACAAAACACAATCTCAACAGAAAACAAGACAACCAAAAAAAACCAAGATGCAAGACAACTACCAAAACTAAGATCACCACAAGACAAGAAAAATAAAGAGAACCAGAAACCAACTACAAAACAAGACAACCAAAAAAAAAAACCAAGATGCAAGACAACTACCAAAACTAAGATCACCACAAGACAAGAAAAATAAAGAGAACCAGAAACCAACTACAAAACACAATCTCAACAGAAAACAAGACAACCAAAAAAAAAAAACCAAGATGCAACTACCAAAAACACCAAAACTAAGATCACCAGCAACCAACTACAAAATACAACAGAAAACAAGACAGCCAAAAAAAACCCACCAAGACACAACTATCACAGCCCCCCCCCAAAAACCCACTAACTACAATCTCTCCAGCAAACAAGACGCCAAAAAACCCAAGATGCCAAGACGCAACTACCCCAAAGCACAGCCCCCCCAAAAAAACAAGATGACCACAAGCTCAACAGCAAAGACAAAAAAAAAAAAACAAAAACCAAAACTAAGATGACTACGAAATCTCTCCAGCAAACGAGACAGCAAAAAAAAAAAAGCCACCACAAACCAAAACCAAGATAACGATACAATCTCTCCACCTACACTGAACACGACTACCACAATGCTGATGCACCGATACAATCCATCTTTCGCTATGCTGCAAACTTACAGCACCTTACTCGAACAAGACACTCCTTCCTCCACCGCTTCAAAACAAACAGCTTTCATTTCAAATTGCTTCACTTAAGAAAAACGCTGAAAAAATAGAACAAAACCGTAACGCTTACTTGACAGCCTGGTCCAACCGGATGCGCTGCGACGCTGATGGTGCGTGTGACGATGATGATGTGACGCCCGTTACCGTACTTGGGCTAAAAGAAAACAAACGCGAATCGGTAAGAGACGCCGCGACTCCGGCGAGCTGCTCTAAGATATTCCCCACCCCAAAAAACCTAACCGAGACAAGTTCGTGACATCTCAGTCTAGAAATAGCTGTACTAACGAACCCGTCCCAGGAAGAGCAAGCTGCCTAGCTAGCCGAGCAAAAGGTAGCTTGCCTTCCTGTGGCGGATGTATTACTCGCCCGTATCAGCCTCGAACAGCCCCTTCGCGCGTTTAAGGAGCGCCGAGCAAACCCGCTAGAAAACGAACGACTGACTCACCAGTTGCTTGCGAGTCAGGACGCGCGCCGAGCGCGGGAACGGCTGTTACAGTCGTGGCTGAAACAAAACAAAAACGAGTTCACAGGGCTCAACAGGGACCCAGGAAAGGTCACAATAGTCTCACAGCTACCTTTCCTTCAGGGCGGCCGCCGGTCGCTCCCTGCTCGCTCCCACGCCTCGCGGCTCTTCGACGAGTTCCGCGAGGGCAGGGCTGGTGGCCTTCCTCAACGTCGTCAACTGCACCGCAACCTGCGAATCGCAGAGACAGCTCAGGGATGCAGGGCCCCTGAGAGGCCACCGGAGAAGACGCAGCGATCTGGCACCCGGACCCTGAACTCCCACCGTAAGGGCAGTCGCGCTGCGCACGCTGTGCTCGCCGTGCTTCCCGATTCGTCAACCCCGTGCCTCCACGAGGAGCGCGCTAGCGGGGCTGCGAAGGAAGCGCAACGCCGCACAGCCCGCCTGCGCACCCCCGACCGTAAGAGCCGAGTCTGTCTTCCGACGCCCGGCTTACGACTCCATCCCGAGGGCGCTCCGCGCTCGCCTCGCTCTCCGGGTCCATCTGCGCTTTAACGCCACCGGCATCCTCCCGCTGGCCCCAAACCTGCGGAAAGACAACCGCCGCGAACGGCGTCCCGAAGGAGGGCGGCGCCGGCAGCCCTGAGGCCGGGTGGCTCCAGTTCCTGGGCTCTGGGCGCCTGCCTTCTCTTTGTGAAGGAGACTACTCACAGCGAGAATCGGCCACCGTCTCGCGCCCCCTCCAGGGCTGATCCTTGCTTCTAGAGGTCCTGCTGCAGCCCGCCCCCGGCAGGAGAAGAAGATAACTGGAGAAAAAACAAACGAACTCGTTTGTAAGCAGCCCTTGTACGGCTTCTCATTCCCAGCAGACTGAGAGCTGGACCAAGCAGCGCTGCCCCTTCCCAGTCGCCTTCGTCGCTCAGAGTAGGAAGTAGCCTGAAAGCACCCACTAACCCCCCCACAGCCTTCCTCCCAAGGAGGAAAGTGGGAGCAGAGCAGAAGCACCGTGGAGACTTCAATAAAAGCAAAGGGAGCCCACCAATGGCCCTGCATTACCTCCAAAGCAGGCAGGATGCGAGTACATAAGCAGCCACATGCGCTAGCTGGAGGGAAGGAAAAAAAAAAAAAAAAAAAAAAAAAAAAAAGAAAAGCAGAACCATAATATTAAGACAAACTCATGCTGGCTTAAAAAAAAAAAAAAAAAAAAAAAAAACACCAAGGTCAGGGCCTTGCAGCACCGTCCCTGTGCAAGCCTTGGAAAAGCAGGGTAACTGCCTGGCGGCTTCTTGCTAGCGACAGGAAGCTCCGGGAGAAACCGGCAGAGGCTAAAAAGCTTTGGCCGGGTCCTGCCCCGGGCTCCGACTGAGTACGGCTGTGCCCAGACCATCCCAGCCTCACAGCACCTGGAGGTCATTTCTCCATTAGCACTGATGGGCCTCGTTAGGGCCAAGCAGGGAGCATCCAGGCAAGGATGTCCCCTCGGGCATCTAGGCTTGCAGCAGGATGGATGTCTTCTTCCTGTGAAGAATACGGTGGGAAAAATAAAGAAAACAAAGTGAAGGAGGAATGATTCAGGATGAAGCTGCTGCCAGTAGAAGGGGCTGCGGCACCCGCATGGCACCCTTGGGGTGACTCCGGGCACCCTGAAACTGTGTTTGGCCTCAGGGAGCTGAGCAGCTGCCCTGTGCTGATCCACCCCCCCCCCCAAAAAAAAAGAAAAAAAAAACCGCAATGGGAGCTGAACAGCAGCGCCATGCTGAAGCTGAACAGCAGGGGGAACCCGACATCGGCCCCGGAAAAGCCGGGTGGGAGCCCGGCAGCCTTCTAATGGAGGCGCGGGATACCCGGAAGCCCCGGTGCGTGTCGTCCCTGAGTCCCTGGCACTCACAGCCTCCGTAGTTTTCCTGGCGGCGAAGCTGCTCACGGGCTTCCATTGATCCTTGCTGTAAAAGGTACCGCTGCAGTTCTCACGCTGCGACAGATAAGGAAAAACAAAACAGGAACTTAAAACAAACAAACAACCCCTCAAGTTTAAAACCAAACAATCAACCTGAACAGGAACCCACAAAAACAGCATCTTGCAACACTTCTTACCTAAGCAGCACCAGTGCTGGGCTTGAGGGCACAGCCTCATCCTGATCGCCTCTCCATCAAGGCGAGTAGGAGGAACTGCAGCACCCACAACCTTAGAGCTGTGCTTTGCCTCAAGAAATGAAGCAGCAAGCCTGAGCCAACCCCCCCCCCCCCAACCAAGAAGAAGTAGAAACCAGATGAGAGTACCATGATGACACCCCCCACTTCCCCCCCAAAAAAAGAAAGGAGAACCCGAGAACCCAGCTGCAGTTCTAAGCCAGAACCACAAAAAAGCAGATAGAGAGCCCAGCAGCCTCTCAATAGACACAGAGAACCACAAAAGTTCCCCCCATAGCTCTCAAGGGCCTCCAGTGAGGGTTTAAAAGGCTTTGAGGCAGGCCCTGCCCAGGGCTCCCAACAAGGCACAGCTGTGCCCCGGCAGCCCCAGCCCCACAGCACCTGCTTCGTTAGCACAGGCGGGCCTCGTTAGAGCCATCCTGGGATACTGACTACCTAGTTGGTTGCTTCTGCCCTCTCAGCTCTTGAAAATGATAGTTGGCTCTTTGCTTCTCGGGCAAGAGGTTCTTTGGATTTACATTGAGTTTATTCATTTAATTAGAAAAAAAATATAAATGAACCAGTCGCTGAAGGGTCCAATCCTAAGATACGAAGGGACCATTTGGAATAATCAGTAGTGACCTTCAGACAGCTGCATCGCATAGCTCCCTTCCTCACAATAAGTCTCGCTAAAACAGCAGACCCCGATCTCGCTCCGGGTTTGTGTGCCAAGTGACTGATCCAGTTTTGCTAGACAGTGCAGCCTAACAAAACCTGTGTAGCCTAAGAAAAGGCATCATTAGCTGAGTTTTGCTCCAGAAGCAAAGCAAACAAAGCAAGAGCTGAAAACAACCAAAAATGTATCAAGCTGACAAAAAGACATCGTGGGAAGTGGAAGACAATAGAAGCAATGATAACAGCATTGTCTCATGCTTTTGTTACACGAGCAATTGCGGATGCACTGTGCAGTCAGAAGTATTTCAGGTTGCTGTGTATATGTCACCATCACTTCTTTACAAATATATAGATCCTCGCCCACAGAAGCTTTTTTTTTTTTTTAAGTGCAACAATTCTAGATCAAATGGTTTCCATTTCAGCGGCTCAAAGAAAATAGCGCAATCCAGAAATAGTATTAACATCCATGACTGCTCTGGCGGGGATTACTGAAGCGCAGTCATTCTAGCATTTATCAGTATGCAATCTTCATTTCCATAGTCATCTGAATTGGTCTTACTCTGTCTTAACTCGGCCTGACATAGACTATTTGCAAAACTAAGTATAAAGCTGAGTAATCTTGGACAATAATTAAAATAGACACTTACATAGATGCTAGAACTAAACAGCAAATGCTTTTTTTTTTTTTTTTTTTTTTTTTAATAAGTTTATCTGGTATGAAACTGCTGTAACTAACTTCTTTTGAACATTTCCCTGTGGTTTTGTGCATTGTATCGCCAGTCACTGAATCTGAGGCTTTGGTATAAACATAAATTCTCCTCATTGAACGTTCACAGCTCCGGTGAAGATCAGTCTTGGGACATGCAAGGCGTTGTCCAGTAGGGAGCCTACCTGGAACAGCTGAAATAAAAACTTTTCATTTTCCTGCAATGCCAAAGCCATACACTGCAGAAAAAAAACCCTACACAATGTCAGAATGTACATTTTCACTTGCCCATTCCCCTTGTCCTAGCAAACCGGCACATCTGTCAGACCAGAGGCTGCAGAACAAGGCGTGCAGCAGAGTGCCCCGGGGACCTGTGTGGATTTTGGTGCTTGCTGCCAGACTCCCCAATGTTGCAAAATGAGGCCTTTGGCCACACTGCAGTTGTAAGTAAGTTGGAGCCGGGAGGAAAACACCAGAACTGCTCGATGTGCATATGCTCGGGTATGTCAATTTTAGGAGAGTGGTGATGAGAAATACAACAAAAGGCAGGATCAGCCATTCCAGGCAGCTCAGGTTATTTCCACATTGCAAAATACTTTAGGAAATGGGCAATTTTTCTACTAAAGCTTGGAAAAAAAAAGGAAAAAAGAAAAAAGAAAAAAAAGACAGAGCCCACTGGTCACACGGCTTTGTGTCTTTCCTTGGCAATTCGGAAGCAGTTGCTGACTCAGTGGCTGGATTTTGTCTGGGAATTCACTGCATCTCCTCGGTGGCTTTCCCCTGTGCTTGCTCCCTCCGGCCACTTGTGTGTTGATATCCAAACCATGCAGCCCGTTTATGACCACCAGCGAAATCAGTCATCTCAAGTTTTCCTTAATAACAGAGTTTGTTTCTGTGGTTGCGTGGACTTTTAAAAGAAATTATTGGCATTCAACTGAAGCAGTAGCTGCCTGAGTCTGGCTGTTACTGGGGCTACTACTGGCTCCCATGATATGGAAGTCATTTCTTTTTTAACTCTGCAACACACGTGTCCCAGGTTCAAGAAATCCCAGCACTCAGGACTCCATGAGAATGTGCTACTTTACAGACAGTTAACGACTTTTACCTTATGCCTGTTAACTAATGTTAACATATGATTTTGTCAAAGTTGTCACTTAACTTGAAGAGCCACTTTTTGTCCCTGAACTTCTTTCAAGACAGCAGTCGTATCCCCCTCAGCTCCTTTTTGCTGGATTTAACAGACAGATGAAGTTTATTTTCATAAGAGAAACTTCTCATCTTTTTTTCCCTTCATATCCTCTCATTCCAAATCTTTTGCTTTGCCCACAAATAGTGAGAAATACACAGTGGTCCAGATGACACATCCTCATTGCGCCACCTAAAATAAATGATAGTGTTTATTTACAGCATCTGCAGGGAAATCCTCTTCCCCTGCAGGCCTTTTCATGGCTGCCTCCACCGGATTAATGCGCCCGTTTCTCTTTCCTGTCTTCAGTTCACCCAACTGAGAGGAGCCGCTAACAGCTTTGCTGTGTTTGGGTCGTGGTCACCAGATAGGGCTGGCTGGGCTCCAGCTCCCTTTCTAGAGAGATGGACTTGGCCTTTTTGCTTCAGTCCTAGTGGCTCAAAACTTTCCATTATAAGTTGCTGTTTTTATTTGGTTTGCGTGGACCAAACTCAAATGTGTTCAGTATCACATTTTCCTCACTTGCAGACTGCTCGAAGTTGTGGGCTTTTTTCCCCTCCATCTGAGAAAATGAGGAATCAAATACTGAGGAATCATTTGTTTCCGAGGGCACGCCTGTGGAAAATTACTTGTTAACATTAAATTCTTCCATCCGTTTCCTTGAAGAGCTTTACCCCCTGCTTACAGTGGAAAGAAACCTAAAATTATGCAAGTAAACCCTCTCAGGAGGCATCTTTTGCTGTCCCCATGAAAATCTACCCAAATGTAGACTCACATAAATTTCTGAAAATTCCACTTGTTTGCATCCACGAGCACATGTCTCATGCTGCTCTGCAGAGGCTGGGCTCGCACTTTGGGTGGAGAGAAAAGCCTGGGACCTGTTGCCCTGAGGACAACTTACTGCTGCTAATGGCAGAAGTGGCAGTCCGTCTCCTTCCTCCTCCCATTGCCTGTGTCTTTACTAATTCAGTCCAGCACAAGATCCTGAGGTTGACAGGGGTCTTCTGACGCTTTGCCTTAAGGAGGTGAGCACATTTGACTCTTGCAATGAAAATAGTTGCATGATACCTATGCCCAAATAAGGAGTAAAAATGTTTCAGAGTGGAAGTCCTGTATGCCCCTAGGAAATTTTCTCTCAGAAAGTTAAACCTTGATGTATTGGCACCAGGACTGACCACAAGCAGATAGATTCACAGAATCATAGAATGTCTTGGGTTGGAAGGGACCTCGGGGATCATCAAGCTACAAGCCATCTTCTGAATGCAGAGCCACCAACTTCCATAGCGGAGGTGCTCCAGCCCTCCGATCATCTTCCTGGCCCTCCTCTCCAGCAGCTCCCCGTCTTTCTTACACGGGGGCCCCAGACCTGGACACAGTACTTCAGATGGGGCCTCGCTAGGGCAGAGAAGACAGGGACAATCACCATCCTGCCTTCTGGCAACCCCTCTTCTGGTGGAGCCCAGGATACCATTGGCCTTCCAAGCTGCAAGGGCACACTGCTGGCTCATGTTAAGTTTTTCATCCATCTTCTTTGTTGATTTTCCCCTGGAGCCTCAGAGCCTCACGACTGCATTTTCTTAAATACATTGCCCTCAAGAGCCTGTGGAACAGTTATCCGGTGGGAATTGCTTCTGAGTGGGCTGTTGATATTTAAGCCTGTGAAGGTTGAATGTTTTGGGCCTGGGAACACAGACTGCTTTTAAAGGCTGATAGTCCAAAGAAATATGATTGTGCTACATTTATTTTATGGCCGTAATGATGTATGGTTTCTGAATTTTTTTACTAATGCAGAATTTCTTTGCTGATGAAAGGGAAGATGTGGGAAATGCGCTACCTTAGACCAAGATGTTTCATACGATTAGACTTCCCTTCAAGTAAAACTCGGGAGTGATCACTAGGATAGCAGAGACTGATCTATTTTGAATAGCTTCTGTATATAGCATCTGTCTTTGTGACTGTTAATGCTCTTGGTACAAAGTGTTAATGTAGTCCTAAAAGGATTATAGATCTGCAGGAGGGCCTATAATTAGTAAAATATTTGATGAGCCGGTACAGACCTTAAAACAAATTTTTCTCTGAAGCATGTGGAAGTATCACCACTTCCAGTACAGGAGAAAAGCAGAACTTCAGCTTCATGAGCAAAACATTTTGTTGACTGGCTGAATCGGCCTTATCTCCTGTAACTAACACAGAAGGCTGGAGAACTCCAGGGGAAAGGCTCCTTAAAACAAAACAAAACAAAAAATTCTTTTCAGTAAGAGAGTCAATAACTAGAAGTGATACTTGAAGAGAAGTCCATCCTGTATCGGTACGGAAGATGCAAAAGACTCTTTAGCAGCTGAGAACAGCAATGTTCTCAGCTTTCACTCTCAGTTCTCTTTGGCCCTGGAACAGCAAAGACAGGTATGCCTTGCAGGAAGCAGGAAGGTGGGGTTCTGGCCAAAATGCTGGAAGACTGTGTCATAAGGTCTTGTGGATCCTGGTAGGGGAAAAGCAAGGACACTATTGCTGAAGTCTGGAGAGTGTTTGTGGGCCAGATGAAGCATCTACATATAAAAAGTTCATCTGGCCAGAGCAGTAGGACCCAAAGATTAGGTCTGTATACCAAAAAAAGGTGATTGTCCACAAAATGACCTCTGCCAGCGATGTAAATCTTGTGCGTGTGCTTCACTTCGTTCTCACTGTTGCTGCCTTGCCTTGTTTTGAGCTTTGAAAGCAGTTATATCCTTATGCTAATTCCCCAATAAAAAACAAATAAAAATGCCAATAAGAATAGGCAGAGCATGTCAGTGAAATCCTGACTAAATGTGAGTTTTTCTCCCAGCAATATTCATCTTGGGACTTATCTTAGAAATGCATTCTTTCCTTCTTTGATTTTATGTCTATATATGTGTGTGTGTGTGTGTAATTTAGTATGTTCAGCTCCTTGAAGTCAGTGGCGTGACAGTAATAAGCCTTTAAAATGAGGATGGGGACTTTGCAGTTGAGCTCAGGAAACTCTTACTGCTCCTAAGGGACTCTGAGGCAGTGATCGTGAGGGAGACTGACAAGCACGCAGATGAGCTGGGAGCTCTGGCAGAGCAGGTGGGGTGAGGAAATGTAGAAATAGACACAGAGAGATAAATGGGAGGGAGAGAGGAAGGAAAGTCAGTCATACCCTGGGATTTGGAGGTGGTGACAAGAAAACTATATTTGCTGTGACTGTAACTAGTGAGCTGCTGGGACATCTGTCATCCCTACTTTTCAGCTCTATGGAAAATACTGGTAGGGCTGCAAAGTCGTCTTCCCTTTTCAAAATGAAATCATCGAATAGCTGTTTCAGGAAGGATCGTTGTCCACTTTAATCCCATGCATGATCTTTGCCTTTTGCCCTTGGTTTGTTAATTCACTCAGCTGTTTTGTGCACATTTATCAGACATGTAAGAGCCAGGCCAGCGTTTCTCATCCTTATCAAGGATGATACTTTGAGCTCTAAAGAAGTGTACGTGGGCAAAAGGCTTGAAATTTGTACATTGTATTAGCTACTGTTTCTAAAGCGTTAAAATCAGTGGTGCTTTATGGCCCTGTTGTGAACAGGGAAATATAGACTTTTAACTGATGGAGACATTTACCTGCAATGAAATGAGTTATGAAACCGCTAGCACGTTTCTTTATCACAGGACACTGTTGGGAAATTCATTAACAGTTAACCCCCGGTTAAGTGGCAGGTCAGGCAGACAAACCGAGGATTCAATGTAAAGGTCTGTTACCTCTTGCAACAACCTTAGGTACGACTGCTCAGCTGGAGTGCTAGCATAAATCAGCAAGGTCTTGTCAATGTGCTTCCCCTGCTGCGATGTGGGAAAGACAGCATATTGTGGTCTCAGGAGATACAAGACTGGTCAGCAGTTGCTCCGATGAATACTACCAAAGCAAATGACTATTCTGTGTGAATAAGTACAAACTCCCTGTGCATCCACATTAAAATAACTAAGCAATCGGCAGTAAAATATGACTATGCCACGTAGGGAAAATAGTGGTTGTATTTCAAGTGTTCGTGGAAAGGATGCAGATTTACGATAATTCCTTACAGAAAGGCTGAATAAAAAAAGAGGCCAAATGTTTACAAGTAAATTATGTTGCTTGGGAAAAGTATTAGCAACTCATTAAAATACCAGAGAAAAAGTAGTCTGCTTTGCATCTTACCAGATCATGTCTAAAAGCATGCAGAGTTTGTGTTGCATTGAATCACTTGTGTTTTGGAGATGAAGGAAAGGCCTAAAAAGGTACAGCTCTAAAATAAAGAAGAAAGCTCAGCACCTTCCTAACAACTGGCTGCAAATGTTCAGCTTTTACCAAATCCTTTAATTACACAAGCTAGTCTACTAAACGCTGGCAGTCAGTGCTTTGATTCCAGTTAGATCTAGCAGTTGGCACACAGATAAAACTCCTGCTTTACTTGGAGAGTGTTTGTGCAGAAACAGCAAAGTCATTTAAAAGTTTTACCATTTGCTTCCTTCTCTGGACATCTTCTTAGGATGAGTGGACCTTGTATGGTGGCGTTGCTGTGTAAGGAATTGCTTTTCTTTGTTAAATGTACTAGAACGGATTCTGCAGGTGGCCCAATTGCCTCTATGTGGCAAAGTACCTAATAAATTCCTAAGTATTTTGCCTAAATAAAGGCAGGAGAAAGGGGCCCGCAATGAGAGTTCCACCATTCAGGCAAAAACTCAATCCCTAGGTCGCTTGTATCCACACTGTCACTTGAAGGGTTAAATGTTAAGTCCCTCAGTGGCATCCAGAGCTGTTTCAGAAGTTCCACCGCAGCCCAGGAGGGACCTGACTTTGAATTGCTGCTGATCAAATTGAGGCAATCTGTGATCCTTTCCTGCTTCTGCTGGGAAGTTCACAAGGCATGTCATGAAAGGTTATCAGTGTAACTGAACCGGGAGCTGTTGCAGGATGAAACCAGTCAATTTCAAGTAGAAGGACAAAAGGTCAGAGAACTGCAAACCCAATACCGCCACCAGCATCTTGAGTTACGAGGTTACGGTACAGGGGAAAGAGGGGGATGAGGCGTAGCCTAGTAAACACTCAGGCAACTCTCAAAAATAGAAAGTGACATGAATCCCAATGGCAGAAATATGAAGCTACTGTACAGTACATGTTCACCTGCCATTATCACTTACATACGCTGAGAGGGAGGTCAACTGGCTCCAAACTCCTCTCTGAAGCTGAGAGATATTTTTAAACAAATCTAATGCATTGAATTCAAATTAGCAGTAGTAGAGACTCTGGAGCTTGCGAGAGTATTTTGGAAAAGCTTCATTTTGGATAACCGTACTTTGTGGTCACTTGGGCTATATCAGTGTTGATCCAGCAGTATACATTCAAGTACAACTTAGTATGGAAATTAAAGCTTTCCATTTGATCCTATTTTTGGTTAAACTATTGCATATTTCCCTTTCATCTGCAGTATGCCAGAAACCAACTCTTCAAGCAAATGCTTTCAGTCCCCATTCTGTGCTTTTAAAGTGTAGTTCATTCCTAGTGAAAACCCCTCGGTATCTTTGATTCTTGTTTCTCTCATCTAGTACTGCATCAGCAACAATGTGCTGGAGACTGTTGTTTGCTATGGTCATAGATTGTAGGTGTGAGATTTATACTGCTATTACAAGTTGTCTTGAAAACAAATAATGCAGGAGTAAATAGTAACACAGTAAGAACATAGGCTAGAAAGTCTCAGTTTACATTTGACAAGAGAAGAGAAGTCAAATGAAGAAGCTTGGCCGAAGGTATTATTAACTGTTAACTTGTGCAAGCCAGAACCTGAGTTGTATCCAGCTATGGTTCTGAGTAAGTGCAGTGTGCTGGGTTAGTTGGAGTGCCAGTACCTCTTCAGTGCATGTCAACATTGAAACAAGCTGTAAAAAAATAGGCTCTATTTTACAAATAGCTCCAAGGCTTTCAAAACTTAGGAAATCTCCAGAAATCTCTAATCAGACACAACTTTGTTGAAATCTCTGCTTGCAGAGTGAAAAGGTCAGTCTCTGTATTTAAGTTTTACTCTCTTACGCACACTGGACTTGCAAAATCTAGTGAAAAACGTTGAATCCAATAGTTCAAACAAATGTGTTTGTTGGACAGGACGATTTTTGGAACAAAATGTAATTGCCAAACATAGCCAGTGTAGTCAAAATGGAATAAATCAAGTGGAGGGGTGAGGATCTCATTCAAAGACTCCTGTACAGAACAGCATTTCTAAACTTGCTCTTTCTGTCCATGTCTCAATCTTACATGTTTCCAGTTGCAAGCTTTTGGAACTGTTGTGATCAGAAACTTTAATGGTGGTTTTTTTTGTTTGTTTGTTTTTTGTTTTTCTCATATATTTATTTTTTTTCATATAAATAGCCATATATGAAATACGTTCTTATGTATTTGCATTAAGGCAGTTAGCCTGGAGACACAGTTGAGAAGGGGATTACAGTTAGTGTTGGTTACAGTAAGTACAGCTTTGAGCAGATAGGTAGAACCATAGAATTGCTCAGGTTGGAGAAGACCTTAATAAAGATGTTGGTGTTGTTTGGAAGCTGGAGTTGGAAAGATGAGTTGAACGCCAGCAGTGGGAAACTGTACCTTAAGACTCCACATAACAAAGACTGCCCTGAGTACTTGTTTGTGAAGAATAGGGGATGAGATCGAAGCAGGGTGGATTTTCTGGAGTCTGAAAAAAATGGGCACAATTTAACAGTAAGATGAGCAGTCAGTACAGAACACGTCCTGGTAAAAGCTCGTCTATAGTTACCTCAATATTTATATCTCTGCTACAATCATGCCAAACTTTTCCACACTGCTTATCAATTTCCTCAGTCAACAGAGACAAAACATATGTTTAGAACATGTACTGATTCATTTTGGCCTTTTTTTTTTATTTTTTATTTTTATTTTTTTATCATTATTGAAAAACTGCCTGATTGTGTTAATAGTAACTAACTACAAATGATTACTTACGGTTGCTGTCATATGTCCTACCAGGTTTCTCAAGGTTCACTGAGAAATTAAACATCAAACAAACAGCAAAAAAGATTGCAATAGCTAAATGCAACAAACTAAACAATAATTTATGGGGATTCACAGAATAATGCTATTACCTGTGAGGGGTGTTTCTGCTAACCTTTGCTCCCTTTGTTCTATGATTAACCCAAATTATGCATAATCTGGGAAAGGAGCCAGTTTTGGGGGGTTATAAATTCCATTCAATTCATGTAAATGGACCAAGTGAATCAAA